ATAGGTGCATGTCTTTTAAAAGAAATTTTAATATTCAGGGTAGCCGCAATATGCAACTATAAAATGTGTCATTAAAATAATAATTCATCTACTCACAGCTGTGAAAATTCAAGGTTTTCCCCTCTTGAAAACGGTCAGGTAAATTTTTCTCATGTCTTATTCTATGTGTGTTTACATACATAAACAAATTGAGTAATTGCATACGATTTTTTTTCCATGAATCAATAAATACCAAAAAAGAAAGGGGGGTCGGGGGGTTCTCCCCCGGAAAAATTTTGATTCCTAGAAGGCGGGAAATAAGCTTTCCCGACTTCTGATGTGTCTTTTAATTACTTTTTATTTCTTCAAAATTCAATTTTTCCCCTCTTGAAAATGATTTAATGAATCAATGAATTCCGAAGAAAAAGGGTGTCCGGGTTACCCCGGAAATATTCGATTTCTAGAATGCGGGAAATGAGCTTTCCTGACTTCTGAAATGTCTTTTAAATGACTTTTTAAGTTCTCCAAAATTTAAGGTGTTTCCCTCTTGAAAACGGTCAGGTAAATTTTCTCGTGTCTTATTTTATGTGTGTATACATACATAAATAAACGCCTATTCTTTTTTCCATGAATCGATAAATCCCAAAAAGAAAGGGTGGTCCAGGGATTATCCCCTGGGAAAATTTTGATTCCTAGATGGCAGTATATAAGCTTTCCTGACACTGAAAGTGTGTTTTATTGACGTTCTTAAAAATTCTAATTTTCTTATTGTATGTAACATAAAAAAAAAAAAAAAAATCAGCTCACGGGTCCAGAAAAGTTAGGTCTAGAATTTTTTTATCTTTTTTTTTTGTTGGCCAAGGGAGGGGTCAGGACCCATTACCCTTCCCCCAGATCCGCCAATGTGAATCGCGAGAAAAATTAACTCGGTTGGGGACTGGATAAACATTCCCTTTCCCATCCTTCGCCTCCTTCCCTCTTTCATTTCTTGCATTTCTTTCAAATCATACAAAAATCTCCAGACATTATATATTTTTTGCCAAAAAGTGGGAGAGGGGGTCCGCCCCCCTGGTTCCGCCGGCCCGTTAAACAGTGTGGGTGAAAGTTTTTTGCAAAAAAAATAGGGGGAGGGGCGTACATCTAATCGCCATTCTAATATTTAACAGATGGCCCAGATATCAATTAAACCAATCAGCTGTTGAATGTATAGGTCTCAAGTCACTCACCCCAATGGCAATAAATCGTGCTTTTAGGCTAGCTAGGCTAGGGTAGGCCTAGCCTAGATAAGACCCTAGCGCCCCGCCTAGGGCCTAGGCTAGCCTACCCGGGTTCTGTTTCCTAGAGATTCTTTCTTTCTTTACCCAGTCAGCAGCAGCTGACTGGGTTCTGTTTCTTAGCAGTTTCTTTACCCAGTCAGCAGCAGCTGACTGGGGTTCTGTTTCTTAGCAGTTTCTTTATTTCTTTCTTTCTGGCAACATTTTAAAAGGCTACTAGTGGCAAACTACTGGACCGATTTAATTAAAACTTGGTGAGTAGGACCGGTGCCACCTCCCATTTATGTTTTATTCACAACTTAGGGTCAAAGGTCACATAAGGGGCATTAGGGTAAAAAAAACCAAAACTCGTATAAAAGACTACTTGTCTCACAAATAACGTAGCACAGTCTTGTCCTTTGCACATATACATTAGCATAAGGCAGAGTTTATAGGGTGTTCGAACAGGAATTAGCGGTCAAAGGTCATTAAGGGGTAATTTTTATCTTTTTTCTGGCAACATTTTAAAACGCTACTAGTGACAAACGGTTGTGCCGAACCAAACCTGGTCAATATAATCGGTGACACCTCGCATATATGGGGTGTTCACTGCTTGGGGTCAAAGGTCACATAGGGGTCATTAGGATAAAAAACTTTCAAAAAAATGAATAAAAGACTTCTTCTGTCACAAATAACATACCACAGAATTGTCCTGGGCACATATGTATTGGCATAAGGTAGGGTGTTTATGGTGTTCAGCGATTTACGGTCAAAGGTCATTAAAGGGTTATACTTTTGTTCTCTCTAGTAACATTTCAAAATGCTACTAATGGCAAACCATTGGACCAAATTCAATCAAATTTCGTCATTAAGAACCGGCGACACCTCCTACACCCCAGTCTGGGATCAGGGTTACATAGGGGTCATCGGGGTCAAATTTTCAAAATAGCCTAATTGAGCTCAAATTTACAAGGAATGATCCTTAGGACCTTCTAAACACGAAAAAATACTCTTCACTCTATATGTCAAAGTTCATAGGTCAAAGATTCAAAATGTTACTAATGGCAAACGAATAAACCGAATTCAATCAAATTTGATCATTAAGAACCAGTGACACCTTCTACACCCCTGTCTGTCATCAGTGGTTACATATGGGTCATCGGGGTCAAATTTTCAAAATAGCCCAATTGAGCTCGAATTTACCAGGAATGATCCTTAGGACCTTCTAAACATGAAAAACTACTCTTCACCTATAGGTCAAAAATCACAAGGGTCACTATAGTGAAAATGATCAAATATTGCTAGTGACTAACGATTGGACCAATTGCATTAGACAGACTCCTACCAAACATGGGGTGTTCACAGGTTGAGGTTAAAGGTCACAGTGGTTATCTCTTAAAAAATGACTGGGTTCATGTTCTATTGAACATAGTATCTCTAGTTTTTTTGTGATATAAGGGGAGGGGGCGCGCGTCGCAGGCGCCCCCCCCCCCACTAAATCCGCCCCTGATGTCTTGAGATTTTTGTATGATTGGAAAGAAATGCAAGAAAAGAAAGATGGAAGGAGGAGGAGAAGAATCGGAAAAAGAATGTCGCGATCATAAGCTAAGATCGGGACTATGTTTTAAATCACAGGTGGGCAAAGCGCGGCCCCCGACAGCGATTTTTTTGCGGCCCGCGAAAATAGATTAAAAAAACCCTATGTGTGTGGCCCGCCAAGCAACATTGGCACGAAAACACCTTGTTTTTACGGCCCGACACCGACCATATTAAAACTGAGAATAAAGTGGTGGAAAAGCGGTGCTTGGAGGTTTTTGCAAGCCCACTGGCAAAATCTAAGTTTGGGTGCGGCCATCGATGTTAAATCAAAAGTTCACTTTGGCCCAACCCTGCTTTAAATGCTTGAATGATGGGGCGGATGCAGAGATTTGGCAGTAGTGGGTGCAGTAGTGTAACTTCACAGCACCTCAACCACACCATGTGGTTGGGGCTGACGTGGGAAATTTTGAGAATATGGACCTCTAGCTACCCGGAAATTACACCCTCATGCCTTAAAAATCTTACCGGTAATTCATATCAACAATAGGCCTGTAATACAACAATTATTTTTTTAAAACTATAATTTAGGTGGTGCGATCGCACAGTCTGCGCCCCCTGTATTTGCCTAAGCAATATTATCATATCCTTCAAATAAAGATCGTAACCTAAGTGTTGGCTACATTGAAATTTAGTCAATTTTATATACTGGCGTAAATATAAAACCAGTTCTAGTCTGTGCCTTCTTTTGTTATGCTCGCGCACGGCTGGTTACTCACAATTTTTTTTTACGCGGCACTATCTACCGTACATTTCAGTGCATACTACGATAGTCACGCTTACTTTACGGTACAGAGCCGCGCCCTATCCAGCCGAATATTTATTATCGATCAGTGACCTTCCCTAAAATGGGTACCTATGTGCACGCGCAGGCTGCGTACAAAGAGATCCTACGGTTGGGCTTGTATTGAAGGGTGCCTCATAATATTGGATTGAAAAAGAAAGCTTGAAAGAGAAGAGGGAGAATTGTTTATTGTATTGTTGGTATTTACATGTTGTCCCCTTTTGAATAAAATCTACTAGTACACATTTTTTTTTTGCTTGGCGATAACATGTTAAGCGTGGTGCAATCTTCCCTTATTTCGCCTAAGCGTGGCTGTCATTTCGTTTTTTCGTATAGCTGGCGAAACCCACGATGGACATCCATATTAGGCCTTTTTGGCTGTGACAAAATATAGTCTATGTATTAGATGGGGTGAAGTTTTTTTTTTTTACAGCTAGTGCCATGTCATGCTTAGGTTATTTTACTTTTATGTTTGCACAATGTATTGAGATAGGGTGAGTAGGCCTACTTTGTAGGGGTCTTATATCACCTTCCCGACCTGATGTCGTCTTTCTTTCTTTTGGTATTGCTATTGAGACCACGAATAATTGCTTTGCTGTGACAAAATATGATAAAATGGGGTGAAGTTTTTATACACGGCCATGTCCTACTTTGAATATATCGTCAAGAATGTACATTTAATATAATTTACAGCACTTATCTTTGAATCTTATTTGTTTTGTAATTTGATATGGACATTGTTTGGAAAACCAGAAATTGATTAATTGATTGATTGATAGTACTTTTTTGTGACAAACGTTAGTTAGTTCATGTGTAGATTATGATGAAATAAACCGGGTTTGTTTGGGTGGAAGGGGGATGGGAGGGTTTGCGGGAACATGGAGGTAAAACCAAACCCCTGGGGATGATCTTACTATGGAGGACAGAACTGGCTTACTTACTAAGTTAAATTATCTGCACCTCAAAGTGCATACAAAAGCTGGTATGGCTATTAAACTACACTTTTTTTTTATAAGAACAAGTAAAATTTTGCCCAGGCTCAGTGTTTTTAGCTGATTTCAGGCTCAAAATGTTCTTACTTTGTTCTTATTTTACACACTTTTCAAACATTTCAAATTATTATTGTACAGCAAAAATGTGCCCTGAAAAAATGCCCTGGAAAAATTGCCCCAGAAAAATGCCTGGTAAAAATGATGATCAATTTGTTCTTATTTTGTTCTTAATTTTTAAGCAATTTCAGCCTCAGTGTTCTTATAAAATGTGTTCTTATAAAAAAAAAAGTGTAGGGCATTAGGGACGATATTACAAAAAACATGGCTGGTAAAATTATAGGGGAGTCGTAGCCTGTATCAACTCCTCTAAATCCGCCCCTGAATTATTCTACTTACTTTGGTGTGGCGCTGCTTATCTTAAACGAAATGTTCTTCTGTACTTAATGCAGTAGCTTATTCCTTTCAATATTTCGAATTTGAATACAGTTATGGATAAAGTCAGTACGAAGGCAACATGTAGACTACACGTCACTGTTATGGTTAAGGCTGGTCACGCTCATTAACATTAAACCAGTTCAAGTTGGATTGCTTTTATTATTAAGTGTTGATATTCATGAATGAATTCACACTTCCCAAACAATGGGCCGCATGTTTCAACCAAATCAAATTTATTGGATGTAGACCTAGACTTTTTGAACGGGGTCCTGTCTGACGGAGGTTAAGCACCCTCCGCTGGTACCACCTGTCAAACGTTCAGCTCTTCTTGTGAATTTTATCACTTCTGTATCCGTGCTTAAACTTGGTGGTGCAGAAAAAAGTCTCATATGAATTTATAAGAGCCGAAAACTACGGAAGCACCTAAGTGCCATTCGACTTGACGACTTGTCAAGATAATTTATGTTGTCAAGTCGACATAATATACATATCATGTCGACATGGCGAGATAGATTATCTTGACAAGTCGTCATAGTAAAAATTGTATGTTGTCATGGCGAGATAGATTATACAGACAAGTCGACATAATACATATTGTGTGTTGTCATGGCGAGATAGATTATCTTGACAAGTCGACATAATATAAGTTGTATGTTGTCATGGCAAGGTATTGTTACCAATTTCTAAAGAACACACAGTGGTGGACTATAAATTTTAACGAAACATGACAAATCTAATACGTCACGATACACAACCCACTTAATAACATCACATTTAAAAAAATATTTATTGAAACCTTTTAACACCTTTAAATACTGTTTCTATAATTAATGAAATCTTTTAACACCTTTAATTTTATCCTTATTGTCAACGCACATACAAACACCTTTTGTTTACACTTCTAAGTTTCATTGTTTTCATTGTTAATTTCAACATTAATCCAACACATGTGACATACATAGGCACTACGTCAAGACGCTAAAAAAATCCTCTGGTACCTATTCAAATGCATATTTTCTTTATTTATTTATCGCAATTATCATTATTATTTAAATTATTTAAAGCTCCTTTATTATGCAAATTGGACCATATACCCATATATAACAACTAAAAATATTAATCAATCAAAGTATAACAGTAGAATAGATATAGCAACAATTAGAAAAACCCACTATTTCCATTAAAATATTTGAGTTAGCAGCCATTACTTACCGGTTGGTCATTATAACCTTGAATTTTGTAGACCGAGTTTATATATTTTCGAAATCTTACACCAGCTCGATCCATAATAAGTGGTGGTAGACAACTATCAAATGTAATCCCTTCATGTTTGTCAGGCCAATCACCAATTTTATTGGGAACTTTACAGTCAAGTGGTACGATAGCAAAGAGTTTACATGGCAACAAATTTTCAGGCATAGTACCGTCAACATTCGCCACTGTGTTCCATTTCTGTTCTTTTTGAACAGTTGTGTGTAAATCTTTAACAGAAACAAATATTTTCTTTACTAGTCTCATATCTATAGACATCTATAAACAATACCAAGCATACCTACTTGTGATATCGAGATACCATATTAATTATCTGTTTACAATTATTCCCTTGATCATTCCATTCATTCGTTTGTTTGTTCGTTCGTTCATTTATTAATTTTATTATTTAATATTTACTTTGTCTATATCCCATTCATTTATACATGCATACATACACGCACACACAAACCCCCAAACCCCCTTACATACACACACACACCCACAAACACACACACACACACCACAAGCATTGCAAAACTACTAATGACTTTTAAAACTCTATACTATTATTAGGAAATTATGTTTATTTATTTATTATGTTTTTAAAGTCAGAAAAGGACTTTTTTATTGTCTTTCGTTGGTCTCCTGTTTCCATTATTTTTCAGTGTAAAATAGTTTTACTCTCATGTTTATACATTATTTACACATTATAGTATAAGCAATTCACAAAATCATTTCAATTTCGTACATAATAAAATACTCTAAAATTATAATACAGTAGTAAAATCGCAATAAATAGGTTTCCAGAAAAGGAATTAAGGAAAAGAATGACACTTGGAATGTATATTATAATGCTTTATATTTAAAATATTGTCATTATCATCGTACTGTTATCATCACCATAATTATCATAGAATTATTATCGTCATTATCATTATCGTTATATTCATTATCAACATTGCCTTTCACTATTATCTTAATTATCATTATAAAGCCCCATTCCTTTCAAAAATTTAAGTTGTTAAGAAAAATCTGATTATTTTATTTTTAAATATGTTATAAATATATATATATATATATATATATATATAATACGAAATTGCTAGTTTAACTAAATTTAGACATTCCTAAACATGAAAAAAATGTAAAATAAGACTGAAATTTGAATTTTTGTGTTTCATACAAAAAAATAAATGCGGATGAATTTTTTGTTTGATTTTGCGATAGGTCTGCGAAGAAATATAGTAGGCGCCGGAAACATTACCCTATCCAATACTGCTAGGCTAGGCCTAGCCTTACCTCAATTTTGGTTCTGTTATTACACATAAAAACAGCCCACATGATATTTCCCGTTGCTAGTATTGACACTTGTTACATAATATTTCATATCTGTTAAAAAATATTCTGACAGAGATTTTGACAATTAAATAAACATATCTCAGGCCTACTCGATCGACCCCAGTGTGCAAGATGCAAAGTACAAAAACTAATTTTATTAGGGAGGGCGCACTCTATTGACTGTATAAAGTATACATAAAAGCGAGAGCATTCCAGTGCGGAGATGCAATCTACAACCTCTGAATTTGCCTAGTAACGAAGAATTCGTCGAGAAAATGGTAATCTCCTATGAGAAACAGTCTGTATTTCTCATTTTCTTTATCCTTTTGCGTAAAACTAAAATTTATGCCAATATTTTTCCATTGTTTATAATAATTAGAATAATGCATATGCATTTTGTCTAAAAAAAATCTTTTATTTTTGAAATTTAGCCAGAAATGGGGCTTTAATATAATTATCATTCGTATTATTATTAATAATTATTATAGTGTTAATCATTATCATATGATTAGAAATTCAATTCTAAAAGTAAACTAACTTACGTTCCAGAACAATCTTTAAGTAACCAGTGTAGTAGCTCCATGCCAAGCCTTGGGCGACGTATGTGTTGCTGGATTCTTGAATTTCGCTTAATTCAACTACTGACAATTCCTGTAAATTTGGATTACCTTGTCGTTATTGCAAGATATTGTGTGTATATTACATTAATTTACGCAATCACTTTCCATTGATTATTTTACAAAATGACATCCCGGTAAAGTTTAATTGGGATACCTGCACCCAATAATAGTAATTATTCAGTGGTAAAGCCAACGACGAAAGGAGTGAGCCATGCCTTCTCGACGGGAAGGTCCATGGAGGGGTCTTAAGTATACATGGCCAGGCAGCGTCTAAAACCCTCCAAAGTATTCCCCAATAAACTGACAATTTATGAATTTGAAAGGATTGCTTAAAGCATTTTAGAGTCTCACATCCCGTAAAATCTATACAGTACACATTTTTTCTCTCACTGGTGCCACCCCCTAACCCTGCGAACTGATGCCACCACTGAATATAGCTTTTATTCTGTTTGACTGAGTCGGTTAATAGTGTGTGATACGTTCGTATAGGCTATCTTAAGCTACTAATAGAATAGTTCACCACAAACCTTGTAATCAAACATATAGTTCGCAAACATGGCAACACCAACTGACTTTATGAAAATTGGCCAATACGCGTCGTAGTTCTTGTGGTAAGGATCAAAGACGATTCTCAATAAAACTAAGATACAGGCTATTATTATGATTATTCTGGTCGATGATGTGAGCACATGGAAGCAGCTTTTGAATGCCTTAAAAAGCGACTTGTCATGGCGACTTTTTACATGCCGTAATTCCTCAATGAACACACACAGGCATTGACAAAACTTTCCGATAATGACAGCGCAAAGTGAAATAAAAAAATTAAATAAAGTGTGATAGGCATGAAGATCATAACGATCTTCATTATTTAACGCAGACTGATTGAGACTAGAATCAGTGCATTCCAAACTTTTTGCATCCATTAAGGTAATATTACAAACACAATAAACTAAATAAAGCAAAATAAAAAATGTTGCTGTGTATTGCTTCCAATTTCCTCGCTTTTTGGGAATTTCTCCAAAGTTATACTTATCATCGATAGAGGTCCTAAATAAAACAAAAGCCACAAACCAAATATTATAATGAATAACATGAGAATATTGCAAGAAGATTTATCTTCAACTACTATAAATACATAATACATTTCACGACTACTACTGCGATAATAATAATAATTGCAATTTGTATCTTAATTATTGTTCTTTTGATCACATCAAAGACCACCACTGGCTGCAGAAGTATGTTACCATAATTACTTGTTGGTATTTTTTTTCACTTACAGACATCAATTTATTACCGTACCTTGTCAAGTTGCCACCCTCGTTTTGAATCTACCACTCGACATGGTCTGGCCATTTTCACATTGTGTCTGTTTTCCTAGACCCAGTGCATAATGCATAGTCTATAAAAATACAATTTCCAAAACTTACCTATGGGATTCAGAATTAGGCATTTTAATTTGACTTATGTCGGATAAGCACTGGTCACTTTTTTTATGGCTATGGTTGCAACTGAAATATAAATGAAAATAAACACATCTAAAGAAAACAAAAAAACTTGTTACATGGTATGTGTCATTAAAACTTACCGTACCGTCTGTGTTCTAAATAACTTAAAAAATTAATAGTTAATTTGATTTTATATAAAAACAACATCTAGTTCCACACAAATCACATATAGAAGAAGATCACCTGAGATTACAAACCCTCGACCTGTTGCGCCATATCTATATAATAGTCGATTCGCTCGATCTGCTGGTTCTTGTTGTATTATAGGGATGAATACTAACTATCCATACGTAGCAGGTGAAGTGTGGCCGAGCTGAAAATATTGGAAACATTCTAAAATCTCTAACTTCTCTCCAATCCATCCGTCAAATCAGTGGCGTATAAAAGTATTTTTCATTGGGGGGGAGGGGGTGATTTTAAAATTCTTGGAATTGACATAAAATTACTGATGTTGTTCATACCCTTCAGTGTGAAAATGTGGCTTGCTTTGCAAGCACATCTAATATCTAAGTAAAGAAGAGCTTAGATTAGTACCAGATAAAATAATTATGTTATCAACATTAATTTTCATCTTTGTAAGCACATAAGACCTTGCAAATTATTTCTGTGACAGTATTTTGAAGTGTGTAAAGCTCCATTTTCCACCTGCCTGAATTTGACACATGGTCAATCCACTGCAGTCGGTCCGAGGTCGATCCACTCCAGTCAGTCTGGCCAAGCCAAACGACTCGGTGAAAAGGAATTCCATTTTTTCATAGCAATACAAGATCATTGTTACCGAAAGTTCCTGAGTTGAATTGTGTTGTTATGCAGACAAAAGTAGCTCTTATCGCTATATCGGAGTCGTGGTTGGATTCCTCGATTTCGGACCAAGAAGTAAATATCCCAGGTTTTAAGATCATAAGAAAGGACAGAAATAGATCCGGTAGTGGCGTCTGTATTTATATAATAGAGTCCATCACATACATACCGGACTGATCTAAATGTGCCAGATCTGGAAGCAGTTTGGATTGAACTCTCCTTGCCAAGAACGAAGCCTATCATCTTTGGAGTGTGTTATAGGTATCAGAAACAGTCTCATGGAGTTTTTATAAGCCTGTTAGATCAGGCTCTTGAACAAATAACACAAAACTCTGAATGTTATGTAATGGGAGATACTAACATGTGTGCCATAAAGAAAGACTCAAATCTTTTATTAAATATAACAACAAGTCCCATGGTTTTAGGTTACTATAAGTCAACAATAGACCATATTTTCTGTAACAGCACTGATAAAATTTCTGACTACGGCTGTCTACCAACTGGATTTAGCGACTACTTTGCGGTTTATGGTATTCGTAGAATAAAAACCAAGAAATATAACAAGCATAAAACAGTTCAACTGATCAGCCAGATCGTATGACAAGGAAAGTTTTGCTAAATTGCTTGAATAATCTAACTGGGACAGTGTCTACCACTCCGAATCGGTTAATGATGCATGGGATCTGTTTTGTGTAATATTTAATGCATCATTGGATAAAGTTGCACCAATTAAAGTCGTTAGGATTAGACATTCTTCAGATGCTTGGATGACTACTGATATCCTTGATTTGATCAAAGAGAGGGATAAATGTTTTTCGAAGCTAAAATCAAGTGACAACCGAGAAGTTCGCAAAAAAATTGTAACTTATTTAGGATTAGAACTTGACCAGGAACTTAAATGTACATTTATTGTTAATAGAAGAGAAAGTTAATAATCGATTAAAATTTGGATACCGTCAGATTCGTTTTTTGGATAGGGAAAGTAAAAAAATTATTATGTCGGCCCTTGCTTTTAGTCTCTTTGACTATGCAATAACTAGCTGGTATTGGGGTATCTCGAACACTCTTAGAGAAAAGTTACAACGATGTCAAAATAAAATATTAAGATTTATATTGGGGGTTAATAGTAGATATCATCTGAGTATGGGAGATTTTCTGTCATTGGGAATTTTAAATATTAATAGACGGGCTCAACAATTAACACTCAATCTTATGCACAAAGTATACAATAACTTAACGCCATTATATCTTGATGTAAATTTCATTTTATTTAATCATAATTATAGAACACGAGGTGTAACAAAAAATTTATGTTTTCAAAAAATTCTCATCAAGTAGATAAGACATTTTACTATAATGGAATAAAAAAATGGAATGAATTGCAAAATTGTTTAAAGGAAATTGAAAACCATAATACATTTAAATATTTACTTAAAAAAACATTTAATAAAAACATGTTTTTTAAAATATATATTTGCTTCTATTTTTATTGGTCGAGGACCCCTATGGAAACAAGCTCATAGAGCTTATAGGGTTATCCTCTTGCTCTAATTTTTGTGTATTTATGTACTTGATTTTTTTGTTTTGATGTTATAATAATGAGGGCAATAAATAATAAACAAACAAACAAAAACAAAAAAACTCGAGTTGGCTCTGCCAGATGGAACCGAAAAATATATAAATAACGTTCTAAAATCTCATTTTCCCACCAGCACCAAATTCGAGGATGACCGAGATACATGTTATTATGGTTCATTTGTGAAACTTTGAAGTGGGTCCAGTAGTTTTATAGTTATGCGCCCCGGAAAGACAAACACAACACGAACACATACACACACACACACACACACAACCACCCACACAGACAAATACACAAACGTTGTAGAGTTTCCTTTCTGTAATAGCTTGTTGTTTTAATGCTGTTTTATAGACATACAAGTACGGAGCATTAGAAGGAAAAAAAACCCCACAAGTATAATATTTTACACACAAACAGTCCCACATTGTAGCTTTCGATAAGCTCAGACAGACATGCACCACGCCCGACATACAAACAGCGCGCGCAATTGCAATACCCTCCCTTCCTCCTTCGGAGGTGAGGGTAAGAGGTTAATTACCCTTTAACTACCTGACGGGTGTTCCTTAAAAAATCTTTAAGCAAAATGATGATAATGACAAAAACGTTCAACTGAGCATGAACTCGGCTAGGATCAATAATTTGCAATCGAATGTATTTATTTAAAAACTTCTGCGGAGTGTCATACATCCGATTTAGTTTCTGCCTACAGTTACAACCCGTATTTATGGTAATTTAGTAAATAGCAGCTGTGTCATTAATTACGGTACGTTTTTAAAAAACACCTCTGTGAACTTAATACTGTATGCTGTTATTGATTCCTAATTGAACTGAAGGCAAGTTGATAGAAAAGCTGGTATGTGGTAAGTCAATATTAAGAGACATTGGAACTTTCGTGGGAGATATTTCTGTATTCAACAGATTATTCATGAACTCAATAATAATTAAAATGGCCATTAGTGCATTTCGGTAAAATGTGAAAATGTAGGCTTTACGATAAAGTATTAATTATAAGTGGGGTTTGTAAAACGGGTTGTCGAAAAATATCTGTAGCTGTTCCTGCATTGAACAGAAAACAATTTGCTTTCGAAAAGAAAGAAAATTTAGCACGAAACAGGTGACTAGTGCAATTAATTATAATATATGTAAATATTAAAGGTATAGTCAAACATTTCGTGTCCCAGTTTTAAAGTGTGAATAACAATAAAAACAATAGCACACAAAATTGAATTGGTCCAAAAGAGAGCACTAGGCCCATTGGCGAATCCGGAGGGTGGGGGTTTCAGGGGAGAACCTCCTCTGAGAAGAAACGTTAAAAAATACTACTGGGTCAAGGCTTAGTCTAACTAGCCTTCATTTTTGTGGTTTTGTTTAAAAACAGTTTGTACTCTCTCCTCCAAATCCTGGATCCGCGCCCGAGGCCTACGCATTGTCCTAGGAAATAATCATATATCTTACAATTTAACTGAAACACGATTACACTCGCTTGCGTCAAGGAGGGAAGGTCTTGTCCTTTCTCTTTGTCAAGGACTTCCCTCCTTGCCGTAAACGAAAATTAACCCTAAGATCCAATGGTGGAATTCTTGAAGTAAATGCAAGACGGAAAGATACAAAAATATATGGGTAAATTATTTAAAAGATATTGTCAAAATAATGAAGATAAAAACTCAGTAAGATAATAATTATATAGTTAATAAATTAATAGTAGTAATATATTTTAATAGTAATTACAATAATGAATAATTCTGGAATAATTAATAATTTAATTTTTTTAAATGACTGTGAATTATATTTTTATACTGTATGAATTTAAATGTTACTAGGTTAATGAATTGTATTTTTATCATTTTTAATAATTACTAATTATGATGGTGTTCGTAATTTTGTGTCTTTTATTGTATTTAAGATTTTTTTTTTGTAATCTTAAATTTTTGTACTACAAAAAACTTGTTCTGCTCTTTGTATTTTACCATATACCAGAATAAATTAAAAAAAAATCATTGAATCATTGTTGAGTTCGCAACATTTACGATTGGAGGTGTTATTCGCAGCAGCTCCGGGTTTGAACTATAGCATAGTGTACACAAAACTGCTGCATTGAACTGAAAGTAGTTTCGGTCTTATGCATTTGAGAAGCAAAGATTTGTAACCTTTTTGTAATTTTATTTGGCGGGGATCCTTTTGTATTTAATTGTGTAACCCGACTGATTCTAAGGGAATGTGTGTTGTACCGAACTGAAGCAAGATTGGATAGCAAAATAGGAACTTTTATAACTGTCGATTGATAGCTCGTGGTTTCTAATGTTTGAATGAGGAAAACGTGTCAGTCTGGCGGGAGTAAATCCTATGTTTTTCGTGTACATGGTGTTTGTTTGCATATAGTTGTCTCAGATTTAACAACTTCTTTTTTCCCTTACTAACGATAGTAACTCTTTAATAGTGACCGATCTTTTTTTACCGATAGTGGTTTTTACATCGTCTGTATTGCGTCAGTTTATCGAGTGGAAATCTGGCTTCCATTCTGTGCGTTATCTAATTCGATTCCATGAACGTTAACGTGGTGGTTAGTCAAACAGTTTTCATATCTGAGAGGGGTACCTCGAGTCGTTCTGTGAGTGTTATGACTTTATG